GGCGCGGTGGGTCCCCGGAGCGGCCGCTGCCCTGGCGGAGCGCTCGGTCCTCCACCTGGCGCTCGCGCTCGCGAGCCTCGCTGGGCGTGACTGTTTGCACAGTTAGGATTGGATTTAGGCGGATAACCACTTACCCGCGTTGACAAGTTGTTCCTGCGGTCCTTTCAGTCCCCCGTCATTCTTACTGAGAGTTTTGCATCCGAGAGCCTTTTAGCCAGGGAGTTAGCATCTGTGATGATTAAACCTCCAAAATGTCATTCTTTCCATTTCATAAAACAGTTTTAGTCAGAAACATGACTCAGTAAACTGGCACTTTGTTACTGTTCTTGGCTTCTCCATATTTGTCTCAAGACACAGGCTAAATGTAGGCTCTTGCTCTAACTTGGACAGTGAATTCAAAGCGCCTGGTTAGGATCCCTCTCTCTTCTCTGTTACTTGTAAACTGATGACTGCTTTTAACTGATTTTAGGGACACACTTGGAGATAATAACTTGTGTAGTAAGCACAGTTCTTGATTTTCCAGAATGTTTTATACCACAGGTGGTATATTAGGAAACAAAAAAAATACATAAATGATTCAGCAAATACTGTCCTGATTTATAAAGTTGAATAAGATAGTTTTTTTTTTAAAGTAGCAAATTGGGGCTGGGGGTTTAGTTCAGTGGCACAGCGCCTGCCTGGCAAGCGCAAGGTTGTGAGTTCGATTCCCGGTACCAGAAAAACAAAACAGAACAAAACAAAATAGCAAATTATAGCAACGTTTATGAAAATTGCATTTCTTAATATTATCACTAAATAGGAAGTTCCTTTTAAAATTGTACATATGGGCCGGATGTGGTAGCACAAACTTGTAATCCTGCTGAGGCAGGAGTATGCTAAGTTTGAACTCAGCCTGGGCAATTTAGCCAGACCTTGTGTCAACATAAAAAAAGGTCTGGGAATGTAGCTCAGTGTGAAGGCCCTAGGGTTCAGTCCTCAGTATAAAATCAATCAATCAATCATACAAACAGTCAAATATTGAACTATTTTAGAAGATTTTATCTGGCTTTTTCCCTCCACCTTTTGTATAATTCCCTCCACCCTTTCTTTCTTTCTTTTTTTTTTTTTTTTTTTTTCTTTTTGAGACAGGGTCTCACCATGCAGTGCAGGCTGGCTTTGAGCTCACTTTGTAGCCTAGGTGGTCTCGAATTTGCCACAATCCTCGGGCTTCAGCCTGCCTAGTGCAGGGATTACAGGCATGAGCCACCATGCCCGCCTTCCTCCACTCTTTTTTATACCCCATTTCACAAGAAAATTCAGACCAACAGAAAATGATTTTTATTTTTATTAGTGCAGTTTCATTTTGGCATGTTCTACAGACATATAAAATTCTTTGATCATTTCCATCTTCCTTTATTGTGTTCCTCTTCTCTAATAGTCAGAAAATGATTGCTTCTTGGCCTTTTGGCTAAGATCAAGCGTAGTCAGAAGATGATTTGAATGTCTATTTTCTCACAGTCCCAAGGATGGTGATACATAGCTAGTACCACTCTAGATGCCTATCAGAAAATTTAATTCAGTCAGTAAGTGCCTTTGGGCATTAGTGTTTAATGTTGTTGTAGAATTTCATTTGAGAAGGACTTTTTTTTTGTACCAGGAATTGAACTCAGGACTTTACACTTGCCAGGCAGGCACTGTGCCTTGAGAAGGACTCTTAAAAAAATTAAGAACAAGATGTAGTGGCTGGCATCACAAAATAGACAGCACCCACATACTGAGAATTAAGTCTTTAGGATTAATTTGTGATCGGTGTGACTTCTTATAATTGTGTGTTACATTGTAATTTTTTTTCAGAGTGAAGTGTTTTGATGGCCAGAGTTGTGTGTATATGTTTATTAAGCAAGTTAATATTTACAAATGCTTGAAACAGTACCAAGTAAATAGTATATAAATTTTTGCTATTATTACTAAATTCTTTTAAATGTATCCAAGCACAAAACAATCCAACCATAGTTAAGTTTTTTTTGAGGGAGGGTCTCGCTTTGTAGTTCAGGTGGCCCTGAACCCTCTATGTAGTCCAGACTGACCTCAAAATCAAACAGTCCTTTTGCCTCAGCCTCCTGAGTACTGGTGTGAAGTCCTATAACTGTCAAGAATTAAGTTTTTGGAAAAAAAAAATGTAGATCTTTGCGGCCTGGGGATATAGCTCAGTGGCATAAGGGCCTTCCTGGCAAATGCAAGGTCCTGAGTTTGACTCCTACTACCAAAAAATGAAAAATTAAGAATTTCTTTTTGTTGATGTTTTGTTTCCAGTACCAGGGATCAAACTCATGACCTTGCACTTGCCAGGCAGGCGCTGTGCCGCTGAGCTAAATCCCCAGCCCCAAGAATTAAGTTTTTGAATCACTGATTTTCAGTTATTTCATATTTCAAATTATCCTCAATGTAGGTGACTGAATATCAAATTCATGACATTGCTGTCATCTTTCTAAGAAAAATAGTTATTTTAAAATCTCAACAGTATTCATAATAGAAAAAACAAACCACATGTTTTGATAAACTGTAATTATCAATGTAGGAATGAAATTTTGAAATGACCAGAGGGGTAAGTTTAATTGTATAGATTATCCATTATCATGAAGATGTCACTGTATTGACCTACTTAACTGGAATACAGTTTAATTCAGTTTAATAGGAAATACTGCTGGGTATGGTTTTGCATGCCTGTAATCCCAGCACTGGGGCAGCTGAGGCAGGAGGATCATTGCAAATTTGAGACCAGCCTGGGCTGCAAAGTGAGCTCAAGGCCAACTTGAACTGCATAGTGAGACCCTGTCTCAAAAAGACCAAAAAAAAAAAAGAAAAGGAAAGTAAAATAAATACTTAAAATATTACTTTGTAGTAATAGCCATCTTGCATAGTCCTTGGATACAATCCATGTCACTTTCTCAAAGGTGGATTTTCCTGATCTCAGTTTAAAATTTGTAGCATTCATCTTTTCTGTCATATATTTATGTATTCAGTGTTTTTCTCTCTGTACTTGAGTGAATGTAAACTCTTTGGTTTTTTGTTTTGTTTTGTTTTGTTTTCCAGTACTGGGAATCAAACTCACGACCTTGTGCTTGCCAGGCAAGCGCTGTGCCGCTGAGCTAAATCCCCATCCCATGTAAACTCCCTGAAGGCAGGGATTTTTCTTTTGAAGCTGTCATGAAATAGGCACTCAGTGGATATTTATTGAATTAATAGTACAAGACTGTGCCACTAATATTGTCATAGATTTGAAGATGACCAGTTTCCTTCTGGCTTTAGGAAGCAAGGAGTAATTGAATCGTTGAATAAATATGGTGTCCTGGAAAGGAAGAACTAAGAAAATGACCTAGTGCTTTTGCCCCTCATTTTTACTGGGGATTGAACCCAGGGCCTTTGCACTGAGCTACATCCCTAGCCTTTTTTTAATTTTTGAAATTTTGAGGCAGGTCCTGACAAGTTTCTAAATTGCTCAGGCTGGGTTTAAACTTGCTATCCTCCTGCCTTAGCCTCCCAGAGAGGCAAAGTCCTCTATATTGTTCAACTTGCCTTGAACTTTTTTTTTTTTACTGGAAATCAAATTCAGGACCTTGCACTTGCCAGGCAGGTGCTTGTGCTGCTGAACTACGTCCCTGGCCCTACCTTGAACTCTTGATTATCCTGCCTAGGGTCCCAAGTGCTGGGGTTGCAGGCTATGCCTGGCAATGACCTAGTTGTTACAGGTGAACATAGGTAGTCTACCAGTCAGAGTACTAAGAACCAACAACAACAACAACAAAATGAATGTTCACTGTGAACTTTGAGATTGAAGTATAGTGAAATTGCAAGATTAAAACCAGCACTGTTGTCCAGAAGTATGTATTTGAGAAGCTATTATGTTGGAAGAGTTATGAAAGAGGAACTGTTAAGAGATTAACAAATGCTTTAAGTTAATGCTGAACTACTTAAGAAGTATAAATCTGTATAATTTTCTTTGTTGTTTACATTAATAAGTTTATGTAGGTGACAAATCTGAAAGGAGGACAGGAAGTATATAGTTAGAGGGGGAGTAGGTTACACTTTGAAGAGGTGTTACAGTCCTATAATCTCAGCGCTCTGGGCGGCTGAGGCAGGATGATTGCAGTTTTGAGCCTAGCCTGGCAATCTAGCAAGACAGACCTTCCTTCCTTCCTTCCTTCGTTCCTTCCTTCCTTTCTTCTTTCATTTTTTTCTTTTTTTGGTCTTTGAGGCAGGGTTTTGATATGTAGTTCAGGCTGGCCTTGAGCTCACTTTGTAGCCCAGGCTGGTCTCACACTTGCAACGATCCTCCTGCCTCAGCCTCCTGAGTGCTGGGATTACAGGCGTGCTCCACCATGTCCATCTCACTTGCTCGCTTTTCTCTCTCTCTCGCTCTCGCTCTTTCTCTTTTTGAGACCAGTTTTCACTGTGCAGCTTTCATCATGCTATGTAGTTCAGGTTCACCTTGAACTCACTTTGTAGCCCAGGCTGGCCAAAAACACTCAGTGATGCTCCTGCCTCAGTCTCTGGAGTGCTGGGATTACAGGCATATACCACCATGCCTGGAAAGACCCTATTTCAAAATTTAAAAAAAAAATTCTTTTTTTAAATGAGGGATGTAGTTCAGTGTGAAGGCCCAGGATTCAATTCCAGTACAAAACACACCCCCACCCACCCCTAAAGGAAAGTGGAACGGGAAAAGGTTTTGAAGGAGAAAGTTACTGGGGGTCATTCAAACTAGAAACAGCACAGGGTACTGCAGAAATTTTTCTAGGAGAATCTTCACAAAGGAATAGAAAGTTCTCAAAAAT